GTTTGTGTGTGTGTGTGTGTGTGTGTGTGTGTGTGTGTGTGTGTGTGTGTGTGTAAACCCTTTCCTAACTAGTCAGTAAGTTTCTTGAGGATAAGTATCATGTTTTATAATGTAGTCTAAAAGCACTAAGCTCAATGCTTTATGTATAAATAAATACCTGTAGAATGAATAAAATAACATATCTTGATTTCTTCAAAATGTAATGGATATGGACACTATGATTAAGCATGCTTTAGTAAAAGCATTCAGAGTAAATTCTTTACGTAGATGCTGAATATGTGACTTGGAAACATCTTTTAGGAGTCTTTATGTTTCTGAGAAATTAGTTCTTAAATTGCAGTGACTTTAATAGATACATTTTATAGCAAACTTGAAAAGCATGTGTCAGAGTTTTAGGTACATAAGGAATTCAGGTTTTTAAGGTTCATTTATAGGCTTTTTCCTTGGGACATATGTTGAAAGAATAACTGCCCTTGTGAATGCAAGGAGTCATTGCTCAAAACTGTTTCAAGTGCTTTAAACTGAAGATTAATTCTTTTTTTTTTTTTAATGTTTAGTTATTTTTGAGGGCAGGGGGTGGGGGGTAGAGGCACAGAGAGAGGGAGAGAAAGAATCCCAAATAGGCTCTGCACTGTCAGCATAGAACCCAGTGTGGGGCTTGGTCTAACAACCTGTGAAATCTTGACCTGAGCCAAAATCAAGAGTCAGTCACTTAACCAACTGACCCACCCAGGCACCCCTGAAAATGTATTCTTTATCCAGATGCCTGTTTTATATAATTCTATTTTCTTTGAGTTATCATTGAAAATACATACTTTCTATTATCTACTTATTCATTGATTCACAGATATTTATTGAGTATCTATTGTGTACCAGGTACTATTCTAGATGCCAGGAATATAGCAGTGAGGTAGCAAAAATCACTGTATTTATGGAAATTTTATTCTAGGGGTGGAGACAGACAATGGAGATAAATCAGTAAACTATGCAATAAGTTAGTGTTTGGTACTAAAGGGAAAAAATATAGCAGAGAAGTACGGAAGAAAATCTGAGAAGGAAGTGGGATTTTAAATTGAGTGGCAGGAAAGGCCTCACCGAGAAGTGACATTTGGATTAAGTCCTGAAGGAGGTGAAGGAGCTAGTCCTTTGGCTGCTTGGGGAAAGAGCATTCCAGGCAGGGGAAATCCCAAGTTACATAAGTCTTGAGGTGAAAGAGTGTTTGGCATAGTTGAGAAATATCAAGGAGGTCAGCGTGTCTGGACAAGACCAAGGCAGAGTGTAGTGGGACATGAGATCAAAGAGATGACGGAAGGCTAGGTCATAAAGGACCTCATAGGAAAGAAAGGAAGCCATTGAAGTGTTTTGCACAGAGTGGTGACATCTGACTTTTTAACAGGACCACACTGGCCACTGAAGAGGGCAAGGGTGGAAATAACAGAGATCATTTATAGTTATGGCTATAATCCAACAAGAGATGGTGGTGGCTTGAACCAGAATGGTGGCAGGGGTTATAATGAGAAATGACTGGATTCCAGATATATTTTGAAGATAGTATTCACAGGATTTTCAGACAATATAATGTGAGGTTATCTACTACATGTGATAGTTCAAATGTCCACTGTTCACTCCTAATTGCTAAAAAAGATACAAATTCTCACACGTTCTCTGTTATTTCTAGATTATGATGTTAACATAACTTTTCTTTTGTTCCTGGGTTTGAAAACACATGTCAGCTACTTGTGTCCTGTCTCAACCTTGAGAAAGGGTGAAGAGAAAATGTGGCTCAGAAATTTGAAAGTGCCAACACTATCCTGTGAGCTCCTCCTAGACTGTAAGCTCTGTAAGACCTATGTCATTTACCTTATGTCCTCCAGGCCTGCCTCAGAACCTTGCACACATCAGGCTCTCAAAAAATGTTGAATGGTATACTCTCTACATTTCCCAAGGAATAACAAAGCGAAGGACAACATCCAGCCGTATCAATTGCACAGTCATAAATTAAAATTTGTATTTTTAGTATTAAGGACATTATTCTGGGATATTCAACTTGGAAATACTGAACACCGTTCAATCTAAAGTTGTTTTAGCTTTTCCGAACCTTTTAACTAAAGGGCGGAGAAGACTGGCTTTGCAATACACAGCTGGGCTGTCATATTACACCGCCTCTTAGTTGTGAAGCTACCGCAGCATTAAGCCCTCTTGAACAGGGCACAAACGTCTTCTCTACAAGAATAATCAGACACAATGCACGTACACCAGCAGCCGAAGAACCAAGTCTGTCCTGGGGCTTAGCCCACAAATCTCCGGGGCCACGGGCCTGCGCAGTGCTCGCCGGACGTTGTAGTTTCCTTCCCTCCTCTTTCTTCCTGCGAACTCGGCCGCCGTTGCGCCAGCGCCCCAAGTGGCGGGCAAGCTCTGTGAAGCGCAGCGTACGCCGCGGCGCGGAGCGTTTCCTAGCAACAGGGGAGCCGCAACGTCACGGCGGTGGGTTCTTAGCGCAGCTGCCCCTTGTAGAGCCGCTGTGTGTACCTTCCAGCACCTGCGGTCTGCAGGGAGCGCTTCTCACAGCCTGGTGCGCACGTCTTCGTCGGTCCTTGTCCGCTTTATCCTGCCCCAGGACGCGGAGAGCAGCCTGCCGCCGCGACCCCTCTGAGGTCCCGGCCCGAGGCTAGAGGCAGTCCGGCCGGTTCTCGCCGGCCCTCGCCCCCGGCGCCCCTGGAGCCAGCCAGCCGCCCGCGGCCTCGGCGGGACGATGCTGGAGTCCATTCGCGTGACGGGTGAGTGCCCGGAAGGGCTGGCTCCTGGGCTGGCGGTGGTGGACAGTGTCCTCCCGGCTCCTGGCGACGGGTGTGAGGCGACTCGGGGCCCCAGTCGCCCCGGAGGCCGAGGAAACGGCTTGAGTGGGCTCCGCGCGCGGCCGGGGCGCTCAACCCCGGCGCCCGGAACAAGTGCGTGGCGCGCAGGAGGTGCTCAGGAAAATTCGTGGAGGGAAGACAGAAAAACCGTCCCTTTTCCTTTTGTCGCTTATTATCAGTAAGCACGTGCCATGGAATCTAGGGAAGTGAATCATAATCGACAGATTACTCATCCTACAAATGTGCGCTGTAAATAAGCCATTTCAAAGCATATTAGCTATGTAGTTAGGCATTATAGTGTACTGGCGTCTAATTTTCTAGAATGTTCAGAAAAATCAGAGCTAAGCAAAAGAACACATTCCAGTATATGAGTATTTATACAGTGTTTATTTCTCTCTGTTGTTTTTTTTTTCCCTGTGCTTTTATTTTTAAGTCAGAACGTTTTGGGTTAATAGTATTAATAGGTCACTTTATGGCATGTATGATTCTAAGCAGAAGAAATGGGTGTTCAGACCCCAGGTCAGAAAATTTACTTGCCTTTTATATTATTTAAAAAATAGGTATTGATGTTAATCATTTAAATATTAGCTTACGTATTAGAAGAGTTCCCTAGGACATTATTCTGCCTTTAATTCTCTGTAACATTTCTGCCAGACAGGGTTTTTGGTAGTCCAGTATCATGATGAACAACAGTAAAGGGAAATGCTTAATCTGCAAACTAGTGTCAAGGCCAGAATTTTTTAGTTTCAGGCACTGCAGTACCAAACAGACTATTTTTAAATTCTAAAGTTTTAGAGTTTAGATTAGTTTTTAAATTCTAAAACTGAATTCTTTTCCAGTGAAAATACTTGCTGTCTTAATTTTATGCTGTTTTATTTCATGATTCATGTTATAAAATATGGAGCTGATTTTGTACTTTATCTCACTGTTATTTGTGTTGACAGGAAGCAACTTAAATTGGCATTAGTTTTTTAAATGTAATTTGATGCAGATACTATTTTTCACCTTAAAATACAGTGAAAAATTTGAAAGTTACTTAAAAATACCATACCTTCTTTTTGGGAGCAGGTACTAGATACCCTCCCTCGCCCACACACCCAGTTGTGACAACCAAAAATGCCACCAGACATTGTCAAGTGTTCCCTGGAGGGCAAAATTACCCCCCCTTTCCCATTGAAAATCACTGCCTTGCAGAAAAATACAGTTTGATTTTGTCAAAGTGAGGGTTATTAGATACTGATTTAGAAATAATATCAATTATGATAATTTCCCCAAAGCAAAACCATCATTGTAGAGAGAGAATACCATTATATTAGTATTAGAAAGTGGGTATTCAGTCAGAATACCACTTAGATCCAACTAAGTGGATCTCCTGCTTTTCACTATGCAGAGTTGGAAGTTTGAGGAGAGATACTTTAAGAAATAGTAGACTGATTCCTCTTGCCTCAACTCCCTTTCTGTGATTTAGTGGCAGAAATCAATCCAACTGTACGTGTTGCATACCCTGAGATAGATTATTCTGCAGTGAGTTTCTGTAGTTCAGTAAGAATTAAAACAGCCATTTGAGAAGTAGAGCATCAAATTTACAGCCCCTTTAGAAATAATTGACTGGGTTATTTTTCAAAATAGTTTTTTTTTAATTTTTTTAAAGCTTATTTATTTTGAGAGAGAGTGCACAAGTGGGGAAGGGGCAGAGAGAGAGAGAGAGAGAGAGAGAGAGAGAGAGAGAGAGAGAGAATCCCAAACAGGCTGCACACCACCAGTGCAGAGCTCAACGCAGGGATCGAACTCACAAATTGCAAGATCATGACCTGAGCCAAAATCTGACGCTTAACTAACTGAGTTACTCAGGTGCCTCTCAAAATAGTTTTTATATGGTACCTGACTAGTTAAAACAATAGTTCCAGAACCCTAATGCAAACATTTTCACTAACATACCAGAAAGCCCAACTGAGACAACTAGAAACTTTATGAAGAGAATGTAGCTGAAAACATGACCCCTTTTTCCCTTGCTGTCCTCTCAGTACTTATTGATACCTAAGAAGCCATCTTCTTCTGGTGTTTTTTAATCTCAGGATGGAAGCAATTACTTAAATATTTCTGAAATCGCTTCCTCTGTGATATCTTACTCACTTTTGACTTACTAGTCATGACTTAATATAATTAAATATAACATTCTGATAGAGTTGCTGACTGGAGGAACAAAATAAGAAAGCTGTGTATGCTGTTTGAAATGGAATCAAATCAGAAAAGGGTTTTTTTGCCTACTTTCAGCTTTTTAAAGATAGTTTATTGTACTAAAGCCACTAAAATGTCGATTTAGAATATAGAAGTAATTACTGTTAAATTTACCTTGGAAATCCAAATTTAATGATTCTAAATATTTTCCCATTTACATTATTCCATGGAGTATTTCTGTAGGAGCTGAATATAATATTGAATTTAATAACAATACCGATAGTTAACACAGGCTGCTTACTACAGGTTGGCACTGTTCTTAGTACTTCATAGATATTACCATTTTCAATCTTCACACGAATACTGTGAAATATGTATTATTATCCCATTTACAGAAATGGAAACTACAGCACAAAGAAGTTCACTTGGTCAAGGTCACAACTAATAAGCAGACAAGATTCAAACTGGAGAAGCTCCATTCCAAAGCCCATGTTTTCAACCAGTAGGAAAGGCAGAACACTATTACAGTGACTATATGTTGATTTAAGCCACAGAGTTCAACATGAAGATCTCATTTAACATCAGTGGTGCATTATCTGATAGTTGAGTCAAGATGTTTTTAAGCTATTATCACAGGCAAATCTGTAAATAATTTTTGCCTGGAAAGATTGTATTTCACTTGACTATAAAATTGTTTTCAAAGTAGAAGACATCTAGCCCATTCAGTGAGTGACAGGAAACTGTAAGGAGCCTTATAAGAGTATGTTAATATATGATTTCCTACTGCCCATATTTTGTATGGTATAAAAGAAGTGATTGAGTCATCTGGAAATGAAGCTCCTTTCTAACAAAAGTGAGTGTTTAAAAATACTGGAGACAAAAGTTTTCTTAAGGCCAGTGTTTGGCCATCTGATATGGATACAGGCGCATAGCTCCTGTTTGTCCTATAGCATTAGGCACCTGCCATTAAAACTTTTCCACAGGGGTGCCTGGGTGGCTCAGTCAGTTAAGCGTCCAACTTCGGCTCAGGTCATGATCTCGCAGTCTGTGGGTTCGAGCCCTGTGTCAGGCTCTGTGCTGCCAGCTCAGAGCCTGTAGCCTGTTTCAGATTCTGTGTCTCCCTCTTTCTCTGACCCTCCCCTGTTCATGCTCTCTCTCTGTGTCTCAAAAATAAATAAACGTTAAAAAAAAATTTTTTTTTAAAAACTTGTCTTCCACATCACTGGTTGTTTCATTTTTTTCATGTGATCCTGGTATGATTTTTTTCCCTCAACCTTCAGGCATTCAAATCCGGTATCCTTTCGTTTCCTCTCAAATACTGGCTACCTCTCAGGCCATTCTTTCATGAGCAAGTCAGTGAATGAGCAAAACCAAACACAGATGTTTGCCATAATGGGACTTATAATTTCAGTATTGGAGGAGTCCTTCATACAAACAAATGTAAAACTACAACTGTGACAGGTGCTTCAAAGAACCTTCCAGGGGAGGTTTCCGGAACAAGTGGTATTTGAACTAAAGGATGAGTGGGAATTAGTCTGATGGGAAGAAGCACTCTCCAAACATAGGGGACAGTGTATGAAGAGGTGTTGTGTCTGAAGAGAGGCTGGTGAGTGTGAGGGATTGACAGAATGAAAGGAAGCTAGAGTGGACTGAGTGAGGGCGACATTGTGCATGGAGGCAAGAGAGGCAGGGTGACCTGATGGTAAGTGACATCATATGCCACGGTCAGGAGTTTTGTCTTCATCCTAAGGGGAAAACCATGGGGAACTTCGTTTTCTAGCACATTCACTGTTGTTTCAGATGGTTTTTAAAACGGTTTCTTTTACCACAACCACCATTTTCTGGCATTATAGAATACCCTGCATATTTCTAACTAAAATAATAACACGCAATTCCTGACCAAAGAACAACAGCATCACATTATAAAGAATCATTGTTACTAGTTGAGTAACACTGAAGTACTCCTAACTGGGATTGTGACATTTTTGGGAATCCTGAAGTAAAGTCAGTTTTCTCAGTTCCTGAATGACATGAGCAGTGCCTTTTCATCTCCTTTTTTAACTTACAGTTGAGAAACTATATGGGGTTCTGTTGAATTCAGAGATGTTAAAAATAGTAGATTATCTGTTATAAGGCAAATTGGGCAATAAGTATGTCTTCAAAGATACTGATGTTTTCACATATCTTAAAAGATTAAGGTGTGGGGCTCCTGGGTGGCTCAGTTGGTTGAGCGTCCAACTCTTGATCTCTGCTCAGGTCATGAGTTTGAGCTCTATGTCGGGTTCTGCGCTGGCAGCAGAGAGCCTGCTTGGCATTCTGTCTCTCCCTGTATCTCTTTCCCCCTCCCTGCAAAAAGATTAAGGTGTAACTTACATTCAGTAAAGTGCACAAGTCTTAAGTGTGTAACCCAATAAATTTGTGCATATGTAACCACTGCCCAGAAGAAGATAGCCTCTTCCTAGGTTATAACCCATCCCTCAATGGTAACCACTATTCTGACTTCTAACACCATAAATTAGATTTGCCTGTTTCTGAACTATGTAAAAATGGAATTATACTGTATGTACTCTTTTGATCTGGCTTTGTTTGCACAGTATTGCCTGTGAGATGCACTGTATTGTTGCTTGCACGCTTAGCTGCTTTTTCATTGCAATGTAGTGTTCTGATATACAGGTTACCATAATTTATTCATTTTTTTCCTATTCTTGATATTATATCATTTAAGTGATGAACAACTACTTGAT